AGATTGCAGCTGCACTGCTGGCAGCATCTGGCTTCAGGGGATAACACTGGAATTTCACAGATTTGGAACTCCATTTCCCACCAATCACATCCACCACAGGGACACAATCCCAGGTAACCCACACCCGCACACAGTGTTCCACACTGTGGGGACGTTAACAGTCATACTGTGGGGACTCACAGCCACACCAAAGCTCGGCACACACAGTATCGCACAGTCCAAATCACAAACCCTCCACTGGGACACACAGTCACATCTAATTTCACAATGAACCCTTCTCAGCACGCTCTGCCCGAACAAACTTAATAGTCAGTCCTTTTCCCCGCCTCTGTACTTTTCCCCCGAATAGCGTCAGCGACCCGACCAAACCGCTCGGGGACCAGTACCCGGGGCCAGTACCGCGCAGATCAATCGCGCCACCTCCCGGTAGTAGGAGCGACAGGCGGTGCGCCCTCTGGGAAATGTAGTTCAGCGAAGCCCTCGCGATAAACCAGGTGGCGCCCGGCTCGAGCTTCGCCAACGAGAGCGCAGACCCGCTCCGCGGGCGTCTCGCGGCGCTCCTGGCGGAGCTGCGCGCTGCGGCTCCTACCTGCCGGCCCAGCGTGCTCGCGCTGAGCTTATACAAGCCGAGGCACACCACTGCCCTCCCAGAGCCAGTTAACGCAGAGCGCTGACCGAGGTCTGAGACTCGAGCCACTGAGACTTCTGGGGAATGTAGTCCACGGTCAGGAAAAGCGGCAGACCCGCCTGCTTCGACTGAATCCAGCCGGTACTGCCCCGGCTCGGCGGAGCCCAGGAGGCCTCTGGGATTGCTAGCCCTCCCCGGAAGGCGCAGGCGCAGGCGCAGACTTTCTGGCTCGCCATCGTCGTCTTTGTTCGCCGGTGAGTTTGCCGCTGGTTCCGCCAAGTGCGAACCTGGCTGCGGGACCTGCGTTTCTGGGCTCAGGGTCGGGCTGGGAGGCTGTAGGGGAGCGTCGGCGGTGTCTGCGACCGGGCTGGGGAGGCTGGGGAATTGCCCACTGTGGTGTGTAGTGTTTGGAGCTTATCTGGAGGGGCAAGGGCACCAGAGGAAACGGGCGGGCTGGCGGTGGGGGACCAGGTGTAAGGGCGGGGGGAGGGTTGTAGACTTACTACCTGTGTGAGACGGTGCGTGGTCTCAGGTTTGTGAGGATGAATGGCATGTGAGTTTTGTGGGGTAATAACCTGTAAACCTCACTTTTCACATTTCTAAAATAATGATTGTAAGAATGCATCTTTTTGGAGCACCGGTTTTTCTGAAAGAATAGAAAAAGGCTAAGCAATTGAGCGATGAATAATTTTTAAAGCGATTTTACATCAAAGCAGGCGTGTTGTGGTGTAGTTACGAAATCAGCGTTAATTTTTTTAAGAGGAAAGATTCCCGAAGAACTTTTTATTGGGTGTCTGGATCCCGCCCCCCCAATAGGTATTGACTTTTATTAATTCTTTGCCGGAACTTTGGTGAGGCAGCTTTGAGAAGCACTGGACTAAGGAATAGCTTTAAGAGGTAATTTCCACTTGTGCAGACAGCTCAAAATTAGGAAGCAAGCTGTCCTGTCTTCCGTGCAGATTAGAGTCTGTCTAGTTTGTAAATGAACATGGCAATCTGACTCCTAATTTGGCTAGGTTTTCCCCAAACAAAATGGCTTTCGTAATGTAGTGAAGCAGTTTTCTTCCATTTACAAAGACACTTTCTTCCAGTATTTTATCACACAACATTTTTCAATAAAATGAAAAAATAAAGTTCCACAGTAGAAAAATTCATATACAAGAATAATAGCTTTGATATATACAAAAAAATGGTCAGTTATAGAAAGGATAGCACTTTATTTACAAAAGCAACAAATTAGATAAAACACCTAGGGATAAATAAGAAATGTTTAAAGCCTATATTAAAATTGTTTTTAAATGTTAATGAAGGGCCCAAAAGAAGACTTGAGCAAATGGAAATATATATCATATTTTAGATAGATTTAAAAAGTCTGCAAGGTATTCTGTTATGTGAAGAAAGCAAGGTATACAGTGTTTGGTGTAATATATTTTTTGAGTAAATGGAGATAAGAATGTGTATTTGTAGTTGCATGATGAAACTTTGGAGGTTTACACAGAAAATAAAAATGGTTGTTGGGGAGGGAAATGCAGTATCCAGGGCAGGGGTAAAAATCACATTTTTTGCTTGCCTGTTTTGTGTATTTCCATTTTTACCTGGGGTGGGGAAATTAGATTTCTATGTTTGCTCCATTGCTTTTTAGATGTTTATCATTGCCTCATTCTTGAATGTTTTCTTGATTCCCATGATCGTACTTTCATTTTTATAATTCCAGTCAAAACCAAGGAGCACCCCCCCCCCCAACTCCGTGAGTGACTTGTGTTTCTGTCTGTCCTTTAGCTATTAGTATTACTGAGTTTTGGACTTTGATCATCTTTTTTTGCCTAGAAGAACTCTGTGTACAGTAGATTCCATTTGGGCTTCAGCTGACAAATAACAAGTATCCATTCCTATTTGAGGTTTGTCCTAAGCTCCTCATTCAGACATGCAGCTGCCCGACGGACAGTTCACGTGGAGGTTGCACGGGAACTTCACTCTTTAAGCCCAAAATGTCATACTGATACTTCTTTCCTCCTGCAGTTTGCCTCCATCCGTTACCTCTTCTGTATTACCTGTTCATCAATTCATAGCACTGTCCAGCCAGATGCTAAGCCTCTTACATCTGAGTAATGGAAGGGCTTCTGAGTAAGTTTGACCCTTTTATCTCATACCCCATTAAAAATTGGTCTATATATCACATTTAATAAATGATAAATATGTTTGCTAAATCCATAAATGACCATATAATTATAGGACACTTATATTTAATTTCTCCTAGAGTTGCATAACCTAGGTAAAATATTAGGCTTCTAAATAGTTTAAGAACTCTGAGCCATGAATAATACCAGAATAATTTCCCTTATATTTTATTTGTGTCACTCAAGTTTCGTGACTTCACACTTACGAGAAAAGGGAGAAAATTATTGGAGAAAATTATATTCAAAACTGTGACTGTTCAATCAAGAGCAAGGCCACAAGTGACACCTACTTAAAAATACCTGTGTGGGTTGTGATTCTAGAGGACTCTGGCAACTCAGTCTCATAGTTTCTCTGTATAACCTAAATTATGGAAATGTTACTTTCTGTGTTCCATTTCTGAAATGTGTGCATCCTTTAAGCTGTATGATGGGTTTGGCCTGAGATGCAAAGTACAAATATTTTTTTCCATGTGCTCGTGTGTGTGTGTGCTCTAGCTTCTAAGCTAAAGGGTCATCATTACTCTGTTCTTTTTCATAGGCCAGCTTCCTTGTGCATCCCCAGGAGCTACACTTCCCTTATCCTTTAAAACCTCTTGAGAGTCCTAAAGGCTCGGCCTGAAATCTGAGATGCTGCGTTGATCCTCAACAATAACTTCCAATTCCTGTCCTGGTCATATAACAGTTATGTGGTGAGTAGTCAGTTGTGTGGTAGCTTTGGTCTTTGTGGTTCTTTAAGGATCCACATTTCTTGCAAGTTGTCTCTTTATTATTTAGTTGTGGTTGGAGCTGGAGCAACAGTACATCCTAGTTCCAATCAGGTAGAGGAGGAAGGAATCACTACGCTAGTGCAGCGGTCAGTAACCTTTCTGTAAAAAGCCAGATAATAAATATTTTAGACTTTGTAGGATCTCTGTTGCAACTACTCAACTCAGGGATTATAGCACAAAAGTAGTTTGCCTGACGTTAGAGCATTTTGATTTATATTTTGAAAATATTTTTTAAATCACAAGATCAATTCTGTTGTAAGGACCTTTTTGCCTGCTATTCAGATGATGTTGTCTAGTTCAGTTCAAGACTGTCATTTTAGAGTATGAAAAATTCAGTTCTGGTAAGTATGTGTGAAGAATGTTGATGTAAATCCTGTAAAAATATGAGGGGTTATAATTACAAAGGAAATGTAATTTTTGTGTTTCCTTTTGGGTTATTAGGAATTTAGTAGCTTAAGTCCCAATCTGTTGTATATCATGCTTTTGCAAATTTAATGACTTAAACAATCAGTTGGAAATTTTAAAATATAGTATTACTGTAATTTGTTCAAAGTTTAGTAAAATCCACATGCTAAGCCATTTGTGCTGTGGGCTTTGGGGTGATGAAGCATCTTAACAGTTGTCTTTATTTTTTTCCTATGTTTATTTTTCTGTTTAGGTTTTGTCTTCTCTGGTTACAGTTTTCATAGGTTGTATTTGCTGGGTTTTCAGATTTACTTGCATAGGGTTGAGCAAAATAATCTCTACCTTATTTTTTTATTATTAACGAAGAAAATCCTTATTTTCTATGACTATTTCCAAATAGTCATTTTTTTTGAAATATTTAGAATAGGGAAATCTTTATTGTTGAAAGTATTACATATGTCCCCCTTTCCCCCATTGATCCCCTCCATCCTGCACCCCTCCCCCCAGGCTTTCACTACACTATTGTCTGTGTCCATGGGTTATGCATATGTACATATAAATTCTTTTTAAAAAAATATATCTTTATTGGTTTGAGAGAGAGGAAAGGAGAGGGAGAGAGAGAGAGAGAAACATCAATGATGAGAGAGTCACTGATCGAGCCTACAACCCGGACATGTGCCCTGACTGGGAATCGAACCCCAATCGCCTGGATCCTAGGTCGACGCTCAACCGCTGAGCCACGCCCGGCTGGGCTATACATATAAATTCTTTTGTTAATCTCTACCCATCCACCCCCGCCTTCCCTCTGAGATTCCTCAGTCTGTCCCATGCTTCTTTGTCTCTGTATCTATTTTGTTCATCGGTTTATTTTATTAGATTCCACATATGAGTAAGGTCATGTGATACTTGCTTTCTCTGACTGGCTTATTTTGCTTAGCATAGTACTCTCTAGTTCCCTCCATGCTGTCTCAAAGGGTAAGAGACCCTTTATTTTTATAGCTGCATAGTATTCCATGGTGTAAATATCCGAGAAGATGCTTGATATGATTTCAGTCTTCTTGAACCTATAGAGACTTGTTTTGTGTCCTAACATGTGGCCTATCTTTGAGAATGTTCCATGTATACTTGAGGAGAATGCCTATCCTGCAGCTTTGGGTTGAAATGTTCTGTAAATGTCCGTTAAATCCATCTGATCTAGTGGGTCATTTAGAGTCACTGTTTCCTTGTTGATTTTTGTCTGGAAGATCAGTGAAGTTAGTGGGGTGTTAAAGTCTCCTACTGTGACTGTATTGCTGTCCATCCCTCCTTTAAAGTACTCTGGAAGTTTTTTTTTCAGCCTGTGTGAGTCTTTTGTTCTGAGGTGGGTCTCTTGTAGACAGCACATATTTGTGTTTTGTTTTCTTACCCATTCAGCTACCCTATGTCCTTTGATTGGAATGTTTAATCCATTTATATTTAAGATTATTATTGATAGGTACTTATCTATTGCCATTTCATTTCTTTATGCCTATGTTTCTTGTTTTATTTCAACCTCTTATTGCAGCAGTCCCTTTACCATTTCTTGCCATACTGGTTTGGTGTTGATAAACTCCTTTAGCCTTTTTTTGTCTGGGAAGCTTTTTATTTCACCATCTATTTGGAATGATAGCGTTTCTGGATAGAGCAGTCTTGCTTTGCTACGTTGAATACTTCATGTCACTCCCTTCTGACCTGTAGAGTTTCTGTTGAGAAATCAGCTGACAGCCTTATGGAAGCTCCATTGTAGGTAACAGATTACTTTTCTCTTACTGCCTTTAAGATTTTTTTGGTCTTGAATTTTTGGCATTTTAATTATGATGTGTCTGGGCCTGAGCCTGTTTGGGTTCTTCTTGCTTGGGACTCTGTGCCTCCTGAACTTGTGTGACTTTTTCCTTCACCAGGTTAGAGAAGTTTTCTGCCATTATTACTTCAAATAGGTTCTCTAACCCTTGCTTACTTTCGTCTTATGAAATTTGTTTTATGCAACTATTGTTACATTTTATGTTGTCCCATAGCTCCCTTAAACTGTCTGTTTTTTAATTGTCTTTTCTTTTTGGTTCTCTCATTAAATTATTTTTTCTACCCTGTCTTCTAATTCACTGATCTGATCCTCAGCTTCCCCTAATCTGTTGTTTATTCCTTCCATTGTTTTTTTAAATTTCTACTATGTCATTCTTCATAGTTACCATATCTTTTCTTGTGCTGTTGAGCATCCTTCTATCAGTATTCTGAACTCTATATCTGATAGATTGCTTATTTCCATTTCATTTAGCTCTTCTGGAGAATTCTTTTGTTCTTTCATTTGGGACTTGTTTTTTTGTCTTCCCATTTTGGCTGCCTGTTTGGATTTCTATGTATTAGGTAGATCTGCTAGGACTTCCAGTCTTTTGGATGGTCTCTGGTGCAGGCCAGTGTTAGACGCTGTTTGTGACTGGCCTTGAGTACCCTGTTTGAAGTTTTCTGCACCCCATAGCTTGTGGTTCCCTCTGCTGGGGCTGAGTGTGTTTGAACAGGACCAAGATGTGCACCAAGGTCTGCTTTTCCAAGTCCTGGTCCAAAAGCAAATCAGGCCTCCAAATATTCGTTTTTTATTTTTTAAATTTTGGTTTTATTCCCTTTTAGTTTTTTCCTAAGAATCAGCTCACAAACTTATTTCTATTTTTTGTTTGTAATATATTATTTTCTTTACAAATGTTTCTGTTTTTATTATGTCTGCTTTCCTTTTTTGTAAATCCTTAACTTGAATGCTTACTTTATCATTTCATTTCTTTTAAAAATAAGGTAAACACTTAATGCTAAAACTTCTACAAGCATTTTTTCAAATGTGTTCTGTGGGTTCTGATATACATTGTTTTCTGTCTAATATTTATGACTATTCTACAGTTTAATTTTTTCTTTGACCAAAAAGTTTGTTCAAGGCAGTAAAATTTGAAATTTACAACTGATTTTTTATTTCCTTCTTTAGGGTTGTTGGGTTTTTTTTGTCATAGTATTTTGTCTATCCCTTTTCTAGTTTGGAGAATATTTGAGGGTTTATATGATTGTTATATAGGCTAATTTTGAGAATTGTTCCTTAAGCATTTAAAAAAAGATTGTTTACTATTTTGAAGATGCAGAATAAACTGATTAGCTATATATTATAAATTAGTATGAATTTTTATTTTCCTATTTTTTAATATAGTCACATATTTAATGGATTTGATCATAGGTTGAGAGAGGTAGTCTTCTCAGTTATTGTGTTTTTGTATCTTGGATTTCTATAGTTTACATATTCATGATTCTCTTTCTAATTTTATTTTCTTTATTTTCAGAATTTCTGATACATACTATTTTAGATGCATGCATATATATGTATATATATGGGGTGTACCAAAGAAATGTATTTTTTTCCTGAATCTATTGAATTTTTAAGGTCAACAGCATATAATTTCCAAAAGTACTTCTTTATAGAACTCTGTTCATATTTCATTGCTGTAAAATCTCTTAGTTTCTGTGATACTAAGTATAGTCTTGTATCATTTGTATGTGTGTGTTCTTCTGTTTCTTGCCTGTTTTTTTCCTTTTTGTTTTGATCTACCTTTCATGTAGGGCTTTCAGCAAATTCTTGTGATCTTCAGATCTACATTAAGATGAACATTAGGACCTGAAAGATGATTTTTTTTAATTTTTAAAATTTTTGTTTAAAATATTACAGATGTCCCTTTTTTTCCCCAATGACCCATTCCACCCCGTCCCTTCCCCCTCCCCAGTCCCTCTCCCCACCATTGTCCCTGTCCTTGGGTTGTGCATATATGCATATAAGTTCTTTGGTTACTCTCTCCCCCTCCACCCACCCGCCCTCCTCCATCCCTCTGACATTCGTCAGTCTCATCTATGCTTCCATGTCATTGAATCTACTCTGTTCGTTTATTAAGCTCTTTAGATTCCATGTATAAGCGAGATCATGTGATATTTGTCTTTCTCTGCCTGGCTTATTTCACTTAGCATAATATTCTCCAGAGGACCTAAAAGATTATTGTAATCTCTGTGTGCATGGGTGGGGCTTGTGAAATGGTGGGGTTCACTGTACAGCATTAAGTCAGATATCTGGGTGTTTCCTTTATGTGACTCCAAGTGTCAGTATCTATAGGTGTTCTCAAGGTCTCATTCTTTTCAGAAAAGAAACTTTCTGTCATACGACACCTGGCAACCATCAGCGCTTCATCTACAGTTTGGTAGTAGAAAGGGATAGGGACCCTCTTCTGTATATAAACTTTTACTCATTCCCTCCTTTTCTGTATGGTACGCTTAGCTACTTAGCCTGTCATTACTAAATTTGGAGACTCTCCATTATACTTTGTCTGGATAATAAATTCCTATTTCCTTCCAGCTAGGAGAGTTGGGCACATCAACTGCTCTTTTTATAATCATTTTATTACGCTTCACCTTTCACTCTTACCCATAGAGCCTTTCTGTTGATGGCTGAATTACAAATTATCTTGCTTTTAGGTATCATCCTCATCTGCTGGCTTTTTATTTAGCCACTGAGTTCTGCAGTTAATTTACAGTCCTTTATTTTTTTTTCCTTTCAAAATTTCCTAAAACTTTTCGTCACCTGATGTCTTCTCAGCCTTTTAGTTTTTATGAGTATGCACTCCCTTTCACCCCCTTATCATCATTTTAATGGAGTAGAAGGGAGATATAGAAATAAATGCAGCCATGCAGCACCTAATGATGGAGATACACTCTGAGAAATGCTTCAGGCAATTTCATCACTGCAAACGTCATAGAGTGTACTTACACAAACCTAGATGGTATAGCCTATTACATACCTAGGTTATATATATATAACCTATGGGACCACTGTCGTATATGCGGTCCATCATTGACCAAAATGTTATCATGCAGCATATAGCTGTATCTTATTTAACCACACATCTTCTTTAATAATACTTGTTTATTTCATTTTTTTTTTTTTATCCCTTCATCCTAGGCTCTCCCAATTTTATGTTTGTCCTTTCATCCTATCACCTACCACATAAGGATGTTTTCTCTTATTTTACTAATTTATGAAGTGTGCAAGGTTACATGTAAAAGCAATTTAAGCTATATGTATCCATGAATGTCATTTACATTTGAGCTTTCTTTTATATGTAGGCTAGGTTTGAAATAAAGAGTTTGTTTATAATAGCATATTTAAAATTTTTTATTAATTGTGGAGAAATTCACAAGTGTTATTTATGTTGACCATAGCTGCTTTATTGGATTTTTACTACATGCCAGGCACTAAATATTTTATAGTTATTAACTCTTCAATGATGATTTTTTATACTTACTTTCAGAAGAGTCCTGAGGAATTATAAAGACACATCATGAGAGACCTGTGAGTTAAATCTCATCCTTCTCCATGAAAATACAGCTCAGGAAAAACTCAGAAAACCTAGGAAACAGAAAAGTATTTCCTCTGATCACAGACATTGTTTCTTAAGACTACATCTGTATGTATGGTACTCAATTTAAAAGAGTTTGGAACATAATTTATGCTTCATTCAATATGAGAGAAGCTAAGAAAAGACCACTAAGAATATAATGAGAATGCTATATTTCATTCTGTTTCGCCGAATCTCAGGATAATCAGTGTGAAGAGATTTCCATCATAAATTCAACTTCATTAGATAACTGAGAATTGATATTATTGATATTGGGGAGAAACCAGGTGAATTTCCTGAATGTGGAAAAGCTTTCGTCTATGTGACACGTCAAGAGATACAAAAGAAGTCTTGGAACAAATATCTGCATGATAACAATGTTGAAGAGCTTTCAGACTGAATCAGATCTCCTTCAGTATGATCAAATTCATACTAGAGAGAAACCTTGTGAGTATAATGAATGTGGGAAAACCTTTAGTCTGAAGCAAAACCTCATAGAGCATAAGAAAATGCACACAGGAGAGAAGTCAAATGAATGTCATCAGTGTGGTCAAGTATTCTCTCAAGTCTCATCCCTTACTCTACATTTGAGAAGCCATAAAGGAAAGAAACCATATAAATGCAGTAAATGTGAAAAGGCCTTTAGCCAGAAGGGAAACTTCCTTTCTCATCAGAAACATCATACTGAAGAGAAACCTTATGAATGTGGGAGAGCATCTGTTCAGATGCCAGGTCTTATTAATAAGCACCAGAGAAATCATACTGGAAACAAGTCATATGTATGTAAGGAGTGTGGGAAAGCCTTCAATGGCAAATCCTGTCTCACTGAGCATGAGAAGATTCATACGGGGGAGAAACCATTTGAATGTAATCAATGTGGAAGAGCCTTCAGCCAGAAACAATACCTCATTAAACATCAGAATATTCATAGTGGGAAGAAACCCTTTAAATGTAATGAATGTGGAAAAGCCTTTAGCCAGAAGGAAAACCTCATCATCCATCAAAGAATACATACTGGAGAGAAACCTTATGAATGTAAAGGGTGTGGGAAAGCTTTCATCCAGAAATCAAGCCTCATTAGACACCAGAGAAGTCATACAGGAGAGAAACCCTATGTCTGTAAGGAATGTGGGAAAGCCTTCAGTGGCAAATCAAATCTCACTGAGCATGAGAAAATTCATATTGGAGAAAAGCCCTATAAATGTAATGAATGTGGAACAATCTTTAGGCAGAAGCAATATCTCATTAAACATCACAATATTCATACAGGAGAGAAACCCTATGAATGTAATAAATGTGGAAAAGCCTTCTCTCGAATTACATCACTTATTGTACATGTGAGAATCCATACAGGGGATAAACCTTATGAATGTAAAATATGTGGGAAAGCCTTCTGTCAAAGCTCATCTCTTACTGTGCATATGAGAAGCCATACAGGTGAGAAGCCCTATGGTTGTAATGAATGTGGAAAAGCCTTCTCTCAGTTCTCAACTCTTGCTCTACATATGAGAATCCATACTGGAGAAAAGCCTTACCGGTGTAGTGAATGTGGGAAAGCTTTTAGCCAGAAGTCACATCACATTAGACACCAGAGAATTCATACTCATTAAAGTTCTATGAATGCCTTGAATTTAGGAAAACCTTCAACAGAATTCACTTTTTTTAGTATATCAGAAAATCCATCTTTCAAAAAAGTGACAGGAATGTGGAAAACCCTTCAGCACTCAAAACTTAAAATACTGAGATTTTAAATAAGTATAGTGTTATGAAAACTTATACCTCCAGAGCCCACACAACAAACATTATTAATGCTGTACTTCTTAGGAACATTCTCACTGAAGTAAAGATCTACTCATGAACACCAACCACCATGGTTCTGGAAGGCCTACCTGAGGCATTAAGACAAAAATAAGAGAGGTATAAAGATTTATAATTAAGAGAGAAAATTGTCATTTGTGTTACATGTTTTGCTATATGGTAATCATCAGTTATTTGCTCTTGATCCAGTCGTTAAAAAACAGATTGTCTCAGAATATTGTATCCTGAAACAGATGCATGCCTTTTTGAGAAACTGGTAATTAACAGATGTGGTATCACAACTTGGTAGGGAAATCATGCATGAGTCAAAAAATGGTCTCAGGGTAACTGACTTTTCATATGGAAAAACATTAGATATTTGCTGTCATCATACATTAAAATATTTACTTATGAAATCTAATAATATTGAAGACTAGAATGCAAAATGTGAAACAAGAATTTTATAGAATGTTTTTAAAACCTTGAAGTAGGAAATAATTTCTAAAACTGATTCCAGAATACTCACCCTTGAGTATATATACATATACCCAACAAACATGTACCCAAGGAATCATGTACCTCTGTGTTCACTGGAGCGTGAATTATATTAGCAAAATATTGGAAACAAATGTCTGTCTCTTGTGAAATGGTTGAATAAAATATGATAGTCACACAGTAGAATATTCTCTAGTAGTTAAGTACAAGTTAAACATGTCTATTAACAAGGGAAAACCTGAAAAAATGATGTAGAATGAAGAAAAATGAAAGTGATGAATATATTATAAATACAGTTGTGTGAATCTGAATTAAATCACCACTAACCAACACCAGTATTAAGCATTGGTTATAGATGAACATTTTGATGTAAAACTATGAAGAATGGATTGCAAGGATATACACTTAGTTCCCAAAAGTGGTTGCCTCCAGAAAGAAAGGTAGTGGAAGGGAAATGGGATCAAGCATGGTAGTTAAAGGATACTTTAGTTTTGTATCTAAATATCTCTCATTAAAAAGAAAAAAATTCCAGATAACCATAACAAAATGTTAGTTAATTCTGGGTTGTGGCAGTATGTGTGTATTTTTTGTGCTATTTCTTTTAAACTTCTGAAAATTAAAATAGAGATGGGAGTAGGGAAGCTGTACATGAAGTACATATTAAAATGGACTTACATCCCAAACAGATGCTAAATTTTTATTAAAATTTCTAAAAGTATATCTTTAAAATATAAAAAAATTTTTAATTGTGATGGCAGCTTAACAGATTGAATTACCATTTAAGGATTGTATTTAATAATACATGCACAGACCTGATAGAAAGAACTTGCTTTCACTGAAACATTTATCAGAAATTTTAATACCTTATATAACCAGTATTGGCAATGGAAATCAGACCATTTTAAAATGAGGAAACCATGCTGCTCTTAAGTTTTTTAATATGCCAGTGAGTAAAACATCCACTCTTGCATGTTGGCCTCAATTTTAACCTCAGACTAATTTTTTCTCTGTTCTGCCGGACATAATCGATCAGTTCCCCACTATGCATTTGTTTGTTTTCTTGGGGAAAAGTGCTGAAAAGAGAGACCTAAACAGTATTTGCAGAAAATCTTTTAAGATTTTTGAAAGTGATACTTGATCCCTTTTCACAACAGCTTGACAAACAGAAAGCTTTTAATGCTCTTTGTTAATAGAAAAATGAGTATGCAACTTTTAGACATTAGGCTAATTCATATATTTCAATTTCTTTTAAACTCAAAATAATAAAATGCTAATGTAACTATAGCACTGCACTGCTTGTTGTTAGCATTTTTGAAGGTTAGTCTTGAGATAAGGGTATAAATACCAGTGGTTGATTTTCTGAGGTAATGTACCTAAACTACATACATGTATATCTACATGAATCTAAGTTCTCTATTTCAGTCTTCATTAAACATTTTCTCATATGTCTTAAGTGGTCTGCCCTTGTGCAGAAGTCACCAGAAGAACTAGGAACTCTTAAGTCAGGCCAAACTAGGGAGACTACCTTTTGCTGCCTATAAGTGGCCAGTACCAAGACCCAGCAACAAGAATAATTATAATGGTCAGATACAGTAAGAAGAGCAATTGCTGCATAGTATCTATGATATTGTGTACTGTAAATTTATTCAGCCATCTCCCTATTGATTCATCACTAGAGTAAACAACACTAGAGTAAACACCCTTGTAATTGGCCCTTGCATTTAGGCATTTTTATTGCTGCAGAGTAGATTATAGGCAAGAGGTTGCTAGACATATCAAAGGATATATGCTATTTTTAAATTTTAATAGATATTGTCAGTCAACTTAAAAAAGACAAGAAAACATGCACATATATGCAATGGAATATCACTCAGCCATAAGAAAAGATGAAATACTGCGATTTGTGATAATTTGAGAATATCTGCTAAGCTAAAGGCAGGCAGAAAAAGTCAAGAATCATGATTTCACTCATACAGGATATAAAACTAAAAGGAACAAACAAGACAGTAGTATGGTGGTTACTAGAGGAAAGGGGGATGGGTAATAGTAAAGGGGGGTCAAATATATGGTGACTGAAGATATGACTTAGGGTGGTGGGCACATAATGCAATATACAGATCATGTATCAAAGAATTGTACACTTGAAACATAATTTTATTAACTAATGTCACTCCAATAAATTTAAAAAATAAAGACATCTAGCCCTTCAATAGAGGGTATGAAACTACTCAAATTTATGCTTATCTGATGAGTATCTCACCTGCTCCTAGATTTGCTTCTTTGTACATTTTGATACTATTAACCCATTTTCCTAAAGGATTATGTATATTTTCAATTTTGAAGACCTCTTCATATATTAGATACTAGGAATTTGTCTAATTTTTGTTATAAAAAGTTACTTTTTCCATTAAAGTATTTTTAAATTTCTATGTAACTAAATATGTATTAATTTTTTCTAACCTTATGAATTAGGAAGATAGTTTGGGGGAGGGGTAGAGGTGGAAGAGAGCACAGAGGGAATAGTGATAAATAAAATTAAACTTTTAAAAATATATCTCTAGATTGTATATATTATTTCTTAGGTTGCCTTGCAAGTTGGTTTTCTCGATATGTAAATATTTAATCCATGTAGAATTTAATGTCATGTAGTGAGGTAAGATTCATTGTTATTTTCTCCTGGATGGCTTTCTGTTGTACAAGCACAATTTATTAAAATAGTTTAATATGTCCAACAGCCAGTCTCACAGCTCTGACACCATCAGCAATCACAGATTCAAACTGTCAATCAAATAAACAGAATAGGCTTTAACCCTGAATTAGTTTTATTGGCATCTTTATGCCGATAAGAAAACACCTTCACAATATGTTTATTAGGCAGTCCTGCAACTGCCCAAGCAAGCACAACTTCCCGGACCTCAGCACTGGGGAACAGGAACATTCTCAGGAGAGTGTAATCCTAACTTCATTAAACTTTGTAGTTTGGGGGAATTTACACAACTTCCCTAAGCCTCAATTTCTTCATTTTAAAATAAGAATCCTTGAAACAGGAAACGTGACAAATATAATTCCTGGAGTGACATCACCAAAATGTTGAACTAAAAAGTTCCAGTTTATTGTTTCCCCACAAACAATAAAACAGCAGCTTTCTGAGCTAACTCTGTAGTACCCCTGGAAAATAGTCAAAAGATTATAGGAACAAGCAATGCCCAATAAAGAAAAAGCCATCTTCAAATGTTAGTAGTTTTATGGCATTTTCACTCTTGCCTCACTACTCCCTAGCATGGCAGTGATCTTGGTCTTGAGCAGGCAGCAACCCAGTTCCCCCTCAAACGAGGGAGCAAAGCAGATCATGCTTACAAATTGTGTACATCTTTTCTAACCTTTCTTGATACATGAAGGAACGATACAAGGCACTCATCAGAATGCAGTTGGGAAAATGAGCAGGCACTGCTCACAAAAGCTGCAAGGTGGATTACAAACCCATAGATAACTGGCTCAAGAGGTTATTGGTGGAGACACAATAGATAATCTACGGCCTGGAGGAGAACCTGGGGTAATTTTAGTTTGTAACTCCACTTCTTATTTTCTATGGAATTGATCAGACATTCATAAAAATAATTATAAACCTTTGTTAATTGGACACACTGAATAAAGGCACATTTTGACATTAGAGAACAGAGTTATAGAATTTTTTTATGTGATAGTAGGTAAATTGGTATTTAGATTGTTAAAACATTAGGCTGTTATATGTAATCCCCATGGTAACTAACTAAGACCTATCCACAGGACAAAAGAAAATTGGAAGAGAATCAAAATATGTCACAAATTTAAAAATGAATGAAGGCAGTAATGGAGAAAATGAGGGGAATGCTGTAAAGACATACAGGAAACAGCAAAATAGCAATTCTTTTCAGTAATTAATTAAATGTATATTTATTCAATTCAGTCAAAATGCAGAGGTTGCCAGAATGGATTAAAAAAAAAAATGATCCAGGAAGGTGGGGGGAGGGGCTGGGAGAGATTAACCAATGAATTTATATGCATATATGCATAGCCCCCCGGACAGACAGTGTGGGAAAGGCCTGGGGAGGGGGAGGGGAAAAGATGTAAGGAGAGGGGGGCAGGGATATCTGTAATATTTCCAACAATAAACTTTTAAAACATGATCCAACTATGCTGTATACAAGATACTTTAGATCTAAAAACACAAACGAGTTGAAGGTAAAAGGATGGAGAAAGATAGTCCATGCAAGTAGTAATCAAAAGGGAGGAGGTAACTGTAATAGTATCAGAGAAAGGTGACATTGAGTAAACTGTTGTAAGAGAAAAGGGTGTGTCAACTAAGAAATATAGGAATTATAAACATTTGTGCCAGACATCAGAGCCCCAAGATATATGAAGCAATCTGATAGGACTGAAGGGAAAAATACTTATTCAGTAATAGTTGGATATTTCAATACAGTCATAATCCACGTAATGATTTGGTCAGCAATGGGCCATATATATGACATTATAATCCATAAGATTATAATGAAGCTGAGAAATTCCTACTGCCCAGTGACACTGTAGTCGTAACGCCAGAGTGGAGTGCATAGCGGAAGAGGCGAGAGAAAATAAAACTACAGGAGGAAAGCCTGAAGGAAATTCACAGTAGAGGGTTCAGTGGGTCTGCAGACCTCAACCAGCTTCTTAAAATGTTTGAAAACATGGACCCCAACATCGAAAGGTTTTCTTTAATAGAAAGGAATGTTCATGGTGCATTATCTACTTACAAGTAAATCTATGATGGAAAAAAACCAAACTACTATGGACATGTTTTTGAAAAGAGTGACACTTAAAAGAGCCTCAGGCAGGTACTTCATGAGGTATTTCAGAAGAAGCATTATCATCATAGGAAATAACAACCATGCAAGTAACTGCCCCTGAAGACATTTCAGTGGGACAAGATGTAGACAGAGGTGGAAGACAGTGATATTGATGATCCTGACCTTGTGTAGGCCTAGGCTACTTGTGTGTATTTATGTCTTTTTAACAAAAAAGTTAAAAAAGTTAAACATTTTAATTAAAAAAAAGTTTATACAATAAGGATATACAGAAAAAAATATTTTGTATAGCTGTACAATGTTTAAGTATTACAAAAGAATAAAAAAGTTAAAACTTTAAAAAAAATATATCTTTACTGATTTCAGAGAGAGAGGGAGGGAGAGGGAGAGAGAGAGAGAGAAACATCAATGATGAGAGAGTCATTGATCAGCTGCAGCCTGCAACCCGAGCATGTGCCCTGACCGAGAATTGAACCCTGATCGCCTGGATCCTAGGTCGATGCTCAATCGCTGAGCCACGCCCGGCTGGGCAAAAAAGTTAAAACTTTTAAAGTTTATAAAGTTAAAAAGTTACAGTAAGCCAATGTTAATTTATGATTGAAAAAATGTAAATAAATTTAGTGTAGCCTAAGTATGCACTGTTTATAAAGTCAGTCTACAGTAGTGTATGATAATGCCCTAGGCTTCACATTAAATCAGCACTAATTCAACTCACCCAGAGCAACTCCCAGACCTATAATCTCCATTACTGGTAAGTGCTCTATTCAGGTATACCATTTTTTATCTTTTATGCTATGTTTCTTTTAAATATTTTAAATTGATTTTAAAGAGGAAGGGGAAGGCAGAGGGGGTAGAGAGAGAAACCCCAATGTGAGAGAGAAATATTAATCGGTTGCCTCCAGTATGCACCCGGACTGGGGACTAATCCTGCAACCTGGGCTTGTGCCCTGACCGGGAATCAAACGAGCAACCTTTCGGTGTTCGGAATGATGTTCAACCAACTGAGCCAAACCAGCCAGGGCTATGCTATAGGTTTTTACTGCACCTTTTTATGTTTAGACACACAAATACCACTGGGTTACAACTGCCTACAGTATGCTGTACAGGTTTGTAACCTAGGAGCAATAGGGTATATTACACAGCCTAGGTGTATAGTAAGCTTTATCATCTAGGTTTGTGTAAGTACAGGCATATCTCAGAGATACTGTGGGTTCAATTCCAGATCACCACAATAGAGCAAATATCACAATAAAGTGAGTCTCATGAATTTTTCTGTTTCCTAGTGTACTATAGTCTATTAAGTGTGCAAAAGCATTATGTCTAAAAATGTATACACTGTAATTTTAAAATACTTTATTGCTAAAAATGCTAATCATCATCTGATCCTATTAAAAAAATGACACCAATAGAGTTGTTCAACACAGGGTGGCTACAAACCTTCAATCTGTAAAGAACATGGTG